AAAGTCTAAAAACCTGGTTACATCAATTAATTGTTAAACATAGAAAGACATTCTGAAAACCAGAAATGCCGAAGAAGAAGAACCAAACCAGGGAGGAAGATAGAAGCAGATTGAAAGCAAATGCAGAGCAATATACTTACAGGCCAACCCATCCAACATTGGGAGTGCGGTTCCCACTCAGCGGGCATGTGAAATTCAAGAAGCGACGGGTTGCCTTCCAAATCCATGGCCGCAATACGTTTCTTCAACCCTCCTCTGTTTTCCGATAATCGCAGTGGAATTCTGGAATTTCGGGTCGAGGATCAGCAGCCGAAATAAGGGGGAAAAAACGAAAAATATTATTATAAGATATTTTGTACGAACTTCACTCAGTTTTCCACGTCAGGGTGGTCATTATTCCAAGGTCACGTCATAACTATTTAGTCTCTCTTTACAGTTTTTTAACACAATTTTCATATTTACATTTAAATAATTTAAATAAATATATTAATTGTAATGTCGTATTGAAATTATGATAGAAAAAATAAGATTAAAAATAAAATTAAAAAATTAAAATAATTCTTTTCTAAAGTACAAAAGATCAAAATTAATATTTGAAAAGTATATTAACTAACATAAAATATTCTGAGATCAAAATAAATCAAGATTAAAAGTACGTAAATCAAACTAGTATTTTAACCTAAAAGAATAAATTGATTATTAAACAGAATCTTAATAATTCTCCTATATTATCTATTTTAAATGATATTTATCATTTAATTTTGGTAATTTTCTTCGACGACGCTTGCTTTAACGGAGTTGGATCTAGTACGGTATTGTTTTAAATACTACATAGGATGTTATCGATAATTGGAGTAAAATAATGAATAATAAAAATAAAAATAAAGTACGGTGAATTGACTATTGACTGGTTCTTATCATTTATTATTTTTTCTTTTTGCTTTTTGCTTCTTCCTTCTTCCTTCACAGTACGACTCTTGGGTCCTTGACTGGTTTGATTCCCAATCTTCTTTTTCTTTTTCTTCTCAGAATATGGTAATGACATTGGAATAGCAACAAATTACAACCTTTTCTCTCTCTGTTTTATTTTTCCTTTTCTTTTTTAGTATCAAAATTCCAATCTCTTTCTTCAAAAGCAAATAAATTTACATAATAACATTTAAAACAATATTTATGAACTATGGTCATGTTTGTTGAGTATAATTTTGTATTTATATATTTATTCATTTACCATAGTATAAAATAACTCGATATTTTGAAACATAGCAGATAATTTAAAATTTTACAAAAAAAAAAAGTAATTATAACGGATAGCAAAAATAATTTATGTATTTCACAAAATGTCACCAACTTTTCAAAATTTCAAATATAGCAAAGTATTTGAATTTTTATTTTCAAAATTTTTATTATTTTGATTTTTCCTTGATATCTGATATGCATCTAATGTACATATGTATTTGATATACATTCAATCTATATCTGATATACATTCAACGTACCTATAATATGCTTCCGATATACATCTGATGTGTTCCTAGACATTATCAGATGTACTCATGGTATACATGATTAGACGTGCATTGAAAGTTATATATCCGATATACCTCAAATTTATGATATACTAAATATAAGGCATGTAAATTGTTTAAATTATAGTTTATCATTGAAAGTTGTTGGTTGATATACTAATATTATTACTACATCACTACTATTTATTTTATATTAATATTAATTAGATACTATAAGTTATATAAACTGTTTAAATTTATAAAATATATCAAGTTTTTAACATTTTTTTTCTAGACGTGCATAATCCACCTAAACCTTTTATACAATAATTTTATATTTTAAAATTTGTTGGTTTTCATATGAAAAATAGTGGATATAATAGTATTATACCAACATACATGTATCATAGTTATATTAGTAGATATTATAGTTACATCAAAAGGTATAACAATGGTAAATTAGAAGCATATTAAATATATATATCAGTGTTATATTAGTAGTAAATCATATATAAAAAGTTATATCAGTATATATCATAATTATATCAATGATATTTAACATTTGTATATCGAGTATATATCACATATATATAAATGTTGTGTCGGCATGGTAAATCAATAGTTACTATACGTATGTCAGTGGTAAACCATGTTAGAATCTAGTAGATATCATAGTTATATTAAAAGTAAAATCAATTGTATATATTTATTATATCAGTGGTATATCAGATACATATATCACTAGTCAGATATATTGTAGATATATTACATATGTACATCAGATATATTGTAGGATAAAATTGTAATTTTAAAATTGGACCTCTGTTTTTTTTGTTAGAAACCTATATTTGAAAAAAATTAAATGTCATTGTCGATTTGCTTATTTTACAAAATATTTTTGCCATATTTGCAACTTAAAAAAAAAACAGTATAATCCCACGTCAAAGTCCAACATTCTCGTAGAAAAGTCCAACTCAAATATAGAATGATGTGAAAACATCATATTATACTATATTTGAAAAAATAAAAAATAAACAAAAGTTGTGGTACATTTTCGAATATATATTAAATTTCTGTCATATAACGAAGATTTTAAATGTCGAGGATCTCAATTTGATAGAAATATTGATGAAAATATCAATAAAATATCGATGTCGATGAATATTTATCTAAAAGTTAGAAAAATTTTTAAAAGCATACAAAATATTTAAATTAACAAATAAACATTTTCCCATTTATAAATTAGTTGAAAATAATTCATATTAATATTATGTATATATTGGTAACATTTTGTTGATATTTTTCATATTTTATCGATTCTTTTGTACTATAATGGAAATGTCGACTTATCGCTCATGTTGATGTCGAACTCATGAAATCATGAATATATCAATGGATATATTAACGTATCGACATATATTTAAAACCATGTCTAGAATCAAATTTCTTCCCTTTTTATTTGAAATACTAAAAATACGAAGAGTATCGAAACACAAAAGTAAACTTCAATTTTTTATTTTTAACTTTTCAGTAAATTTCATAATTTATCTAAATTCAAATGCCTTAAGAAGAAAGGTAAAAAATATATTTAAAATTTTGTTAGAAAAGTAAAACAAACATAATTTTTAATTTATAGAACAGGAAATTAAAAATTAAATCGGAAACGGGGCCAATTTTTTTGCGGTTGATAGATGATTTACCAAAGTTTCTGAGAAGATGAGGTGAAACACCTCAAAATATTGTTTTTTATATACACTTTTTCAAACCAACCATAAATTCACACAATATCCATCAAAACCCCCATTGGGCCTTTTGGGCCCGAGTTCCTTTCACATCATCGCCAAGCCCACATAGGCCGCACGTGCGATGCGATGACGTCAGGGTTATCCATTTAACAACAAATAACATATAATATATTTGCCTCCAAAAAAAAAAAAGAAAACATATAATATATCATACGCAAATTAACACGCACACATTGCACACCACCTGTTTGACGATAAGCCAACGCGAAACTTCCAAACCGTTTATCGTTGTAGCTTTTCGTCGGGTTCCATCATCTCCCCAATTCTGTTGACTGTTCTTCTACAGTCATTACAGTCCACCGTAATCCAGTGGCAAGCTTCTAATTCCCAACGATTGTGAAGTTTGGTAATGATTCTCTCTCTTCCTTCTTTCGATTTTTTTACCCGCGTTTGGGTTTTGCGACGGCCTCTCGCACTCGCACATGGGGGTAAAGACGTTCGCCCCGCCCCACACGCAGCGAGGGAAAAGTCTGATCGAAGCGCTAGTAGCTGCGCATTCATTTGTAATTTTCTCCACCTGGCCTTGTTCTGTCCAGACGATTGCGGTAATATTACGCTTCTTAATCTTATCCTAGTACGTCTTTTCAATCGCTTTAATCTCTTTGATTTTTCGTTTTAACGGCTGAGTTCGTATTAATGTTCCTGGTCCTGCTCTACCCATCAGTTCAGTGAATCGGACCACGCGTCCTCTCATTTAGACGCCCCCCACCTTTCTTGTTCACGAAAAAGGAACACCCATTTACGACTAGACCCCACTTGAGATTTGAGAACACCCAGGAATCAGTGCTCTCGGTCATTCGTTCGATTTTCTGAAGGCTGGCAGCAACGTCAGAATATCAAGAATAGTTCTTTCTTCCAAAAGGTTTGCTTGCTATCTTTCCCCCTCTTTTATCGGTTAAATTTCTGCAAGTGCATGTACGGCGTGTTGTTTGGACTTCTGATTCGTATTATGTTAATTTGTTTTCTGGGTCTCTTTATGGTTTGGATTTCAGATTCTGTTTAGTAATTTTCTACTTTATTTAATACTTCTGGCACCCTTTAGTTAGAAATATGCTGTCGTTATGTCGAACGAGAATGGTTTTTTTCCTTCTGTTTTTAGTCGTAGTATTATCAAGTATTGGTCAATATGGAGCTCCTGTTGAATAGAAGTCCATTCAGCTATATCTTATGCGCTTGTCTTTCTGAAGAAAACAGGAAAAGAACTTCTAAATGGCTCAAGATATGGCTCCTAGCATCGACTCACCTAGGCGGCGTTCTGGCCTTTTGCGAGATCAAGTCCAATTAGTGAAGAAGAAGGACTCAAATCGATATGAGATCATTCCAATTCAAGATCCCTTGTCATTTGAGAAAGGTTTCTTCATTGTAATTCGTGCATGCCAGTTGTTGTCTCAAAAGAATGATGGGATAATTCTAGTAGGAGTGGCAGGCCCCTCTGGAGCTGGGAAGACCGTGTTTACTGAGAAGGTGCTTAACTTTATACCCAGCATTGCTGTTATCACGATGGACAACTACAATGATTCCAGTCGTATCATCGATGGCAACTTTGATGGTATTATTCCATGATGCTATGATTCTTTATCCCACTCAATTTGGCAAAAAGTTTTATCAGTATAAGAGAGCTAAATATTATACCTATGATTTGAAACTATGACACTGGTTCAGAGCACTCCAGTACTTTATACTTGCAGGAGGCTTTGATGATTGCTTTGTTTTTCTGTTATCTATAGTGAGGTGGCAGGGAAACTTGTAATTTTCCATTGCCACCTACAAAATCATGGAGCCACAAGCTTCACGTAAGTTTTTTAGCATGCATCCAGCATCCAGCATCCAGCATCCAGCATCTAATACTTTTCCTCTTAGGCAGTCATGGCCATGCATATATGGACATTATTACCTCGAAGAATGAAATATCTTTTTTACCATGTTGCCTAAGAAGTTGATAGAAAAGAGGTACTTGATTTTGCTCCATAACCGAAGTGTCCACTATGTTGTGCTTTTTTTTTTTTTGTTATTTTTTGGGTTGAAGTTTCTAACCTTTGAGTTTCGGAGATCTAAACATCCATGCAAAAGACACCAAGAATATATCAGTTCTTTAAAAATAACATGCTATGCACGCAAATTGGTTTATCAAGTCATTACATGGTGGGATATTGATGAGAAACAGAGCATTAATAATGTTAAGGAACTTTTTCGTTGATTTAGTCTAGTTACAGGAGACCCCCTGAAGATTTTTCTTTCAAGCATCTATTTAGCCACATCAAACTCCTCCCAACACCAATGAGCTTTACAAAGGGGAAGACAAGCCATCCTCTTAGTGTCAATGAGCTTTACAAGACAAGATCAAAATTGGTATAAATTAACAGAAGATCCAAGAGGTAACTGCAAAAAACCTTCGAAAGAGTACACCACAGTTGAGTTAAAAATCTCACACAACTTGTTCTTAGTTTTGAGTATCAACTTGTAAGGAGATAACTTACAGTAGCCTCCTTTCAACGTTATCAAGAGTGTTAATACCCTCTAGAACAAAGTGAGCATACAGGGAAATTGATATTTTTGGGAACTTTTTGCTTACTGATAATATTAGTCATTCCCTGAAGGCTCACATAACCGAACTTTGCTAATATTATGCAGATAGTGTCAGTTCAGTTTCAAACAACTTTCATTCTTATTCTGATATATGGTTGTCCTTAACGTATGTTTTCTCTGCTTCTTTCTTTCTAGTAAGTACGGTTGTTAATTATTCTTGCAATTTGTCTCTGGAATTTCTAATGGTTCTGTTTTTTAACAGATCCACGTCTAACGGATTATGATACATTGCTGGAAAATATTCATGGTCTAAGAGAAGGAAAATCTGTTCAGGTTCCTATTTATGATTTCAAGACTAGCAGTCGCGTGGGTTACAGGTAATGTGTCAATTTGGCCTTTGTTTTATTTAGCATTTCTGTAGCTGGGAACTTTATTGCCAGAAATTTACTTGGTCACTATGTTAATGTCATACCCTATATCTTCTGGCCAAGCAGTCCGATTGGAACTGGAGGTATCAAAATATGGGTGGTTTAGTTAGAAGACCTAACATATATCTTTTAAAGTTATAGCTTCTCTCTCAAGGGTTGTGAATCTAGATATTCCCTTTTTCTTGGTGCTATCTCTGAAAGAATATTTGTCTCTCTTTTACACTTTAACGTTCTTACTTTTAAGGGCTACTAACAGGACTGTTGATGTCCCCATGTCAAGAATTGTCATTATTGAGGGCATCTATGCTTTAAGTGAGAAATTACGTCCATTACTAGATCTTCGTGTATCAGTCACTGGTGGTGTTCATTTTGACTTGGTCAAACGGGTGTTACGAGATATTCAGCGAGCTGGTCAAGAGCCAGAAGAAATAATACATCAAGTTTCTGAGACGGTGTGTCCTTTTTGTTAGCTGTTTTTCTAAAAGGTTTGGTTCAACTGCCACCGATTACATGTAACAAAATTCTGTTTGTGGTTCGTGTAAAAATTTCTGGATACAGGTTTATCCAATGTATAAAGCTTTTATTGAGCCAGATCTTCAGACTGCTCATATAAGAATTATCAACAAATTCAATCCCTTTACTGGTTTCCAGAATCCTACATACATTCTTAAGGTTAGCTGCTTCAACTTTTCTTTCTTTTCCTCTAAATAATTATGAGTTATACTCTATATGAGCTGGGTTCATTTTCTGGTTACAGTCAACAAAAGCAGTACCTGCGGATCAAATTAAGGCTGTTATTTCTGAAAATCTTGAGGAGTCTACTGAGGAAACTTATGATATTTATCTTCTACCTCCTGGTGAAGATCCTGAAGCATGTCAATCATATCTAAGGATGAGGAACAGGGATGGGAAATACAATCTCATGTTTGAGGTCACATTAACTGAAGCAATATAACTAAGATCCTTCATGCTATAATTGCCTGTATTCCATGAGTGTTTATGCATTATCCATCTACGTCTGGGTCTAGATACACAAACCACATTTGTCTTGGTTTTTCATGGGAAAATGTTTTTTATTAGTCTCAGGTTCTCAGCTACTAATTAGTTGATCCTTTTTACAAGCTGCCATGAAGTTTAATTAAAAAGATGAGGAATGTTGCATTGCATGCTTGTCCTTTTATGTTTTGTATTAATGAGGAACCTATTGGCTGCTTATGTTGATATATCTTATTTTCTTTCCACTTTTTCAGGAGTGGGTTACAGATATTCCATTTATAATATCACCTAGAATAACTTTCGAAGTTAGTGTGCGCCTTCTTGGAGGGCTCATGGCACTGGGCTACACAATTGCAACCATTCTAAAAAGGAGCAGCCACATATTCTCAAACGACCGGGTGTGTGTAAAGATTGATTGGTTGGAGCAACTTAACCGTAAATATATTCAGGTACATATTGTATTCAATATCCATGCTGTAATAGTCTGTCTTTTTCCTTTTTCGTTCATATATCAACAGTGTAGGAACTTCCGGGTATGGCATGCACTAGCATGGGTCAACTTTTCTCCTAAAAATTGATTTTGTTTAAATTTCCCCAATAATTAAACATGTAGCAAGCATAACCATATGTCATTAGCCACATTGTTCAGTCATCCGAGTATGATGTTGCCATACACGATATGGGAGTTTTGTTTAAAAACTTATACTGAGCAGGTTCACATTATCATACTTACTGAATATTGGATGAAGGTGCAAGGGAAAGATCGGCTTCATGTTAAATATGTTGCTGAGCAGTTGGGTTTGGATGGTTCCTATATCCCTCGAACTTATATAGAACAGATACAGCTAGAGAAGCTTGTTAATGATGTTATGGTAAGGTACCTGCAATGCAACAGATTAAGGAGATTAATATCTTTAGTTCAGTAAGTCTGACGTGATCATTTGTAGGCCTTGCCAGATGATTTAAAAACCAAGCTCAGCATAGATGATGATTCACTTTCAAGCCCAAAGGAAGCCCTTTCCCGAGCTTCCGCTGATAGGAGGAATAAGTACCTTAACTGGTATCATCCTTGATCCTACTCTACCACCGTTGGATATACTTCCTGTTGAAAAATTAGAAGAATGCTGGATGCAAATTTGAGACAAACAAACAGATTGACTAAAAAAAGATGGGTGTAAAAATTTTCTGTTAGATCAACGAGTATAATCACCCATGTATTTAGATATGTATATATAAGAAATATAGAATCACTTCTCTTCTTAAGTTCAGTACAAATTCAAGGTTATTTATTGATACAGCTCTGAAAAGTGAAGATTCTCACTTAGTTCATTTAGATTATTTCGTGATGGTACTTATAGTGCCCAATCTACATATTCCTGGATCCTTTGTTGATATTTGATATCATTTTCCAGTGGCTTATCACAGTCATTTTCAATTCGGAGAGACAAGACCTTGTCAAAGCTGACAAAGCTTGCAGTTAATAGTAGAAGGTTTGATGCCAGGGCTCCAGATTCCCCTGCAGCAGTCTCTAACCAGGTAAATGTTTTTCTGAACGAAGAAAATCTTGTTCATATGGACTGTATACTTTCTATATTCGATTGGCTTGTAGAGAAGACTGTAACAGAGGAAGACAATGAATCTAACTAACTGTCTAATGCTAGCTAAAAAAAGAAGCAAGCATCCAAAAGCGTATAATGAGGCTTTTTAGGTAGAATCCAAAAGCAACAACAACTCCATTTTTGGTTACAGGCCTTAAAGTGAACAATATCCCACTATTGTAGAAATGTGGAAAGACGTGATGTCTTTAACAGTCGTTTGAGTGTGATTTGATAATTTGTTTCTAGAACGTTGTCAGGTCACAAATAAAAATAACTTGAAATGTAACAAATGGTTCGCTTTTGATTTGAAGAATAGGTAAATATTCATGTCCTTTCTTGATTGCCAATACTTCAGGGAGCCATTACTCAACTCTCAGAGCAGATTTCTACCCTCAGTGAGAGGATGGATGAGTTCACATCTCGTATTGAAGAGTTGAACTCGAAGATCTGTGCTAAAAAAGTATCTTCTAGTCAACAGAATTTGGCTTTGCAACCTGATGCGTCCAACAATGGCTCTGGAGCGACTTCAATCTTCATATCTGGATTGAGTAACGGCGCCTTAACTGGATCGCTACTCCCTCATTCTTCGTCGTCCTCCCAACTGGCTAAGGAATCTCCCCTGCTGGAGGAGGTACATTGATGAAAATCACCTATTTTCCTCTTTGGGTTTAAGATTCAAACTGAAATTTGTGCTTTCCAGATACAAAACATAGCGCGGGGGCAGCGTCAAATTATCCTCCAAGTCGATAATCTGAGCAATCTTCTCCGGGAGTACTCGAGCGAGAGGAGTCGTCGGGGCAAAGTTGACGACGACTGGACGTGGAGGATGGCTGATTTTGAAGCCATCGGTGCCCCACTTTTACTAACACTTGCAATTGGTAGTTTAGGATTTCTTTTGTTCAAGAACCTGACTTCCCATAAATGATTTCTTTTCTTTACAGTTTCTTTGATGTCTTGAATTCTAAGCCAACTTTCAAAAAAAAAAAAATTGATATTAACAAGAGCATGCATATGTACAAATCAATCTAACACGGGCAGGAAGAATAAGCCGTATTTAAAGAGATATCCATCTATATGTTCAAAAGCCAAAAAGGGAATTAATGAACAAAAAATGGGTAGCTGAAGTCATAATTCCTACTTTTGCTAGAAATCCAAAGGAACATGCAATAAATTCCATGGAATCAAAGAAGAGTATAGTCTTTGATGTCAATAATTTAGTTGCATTCATCCTTTTTGATGTCTCAAGTCTTGCAAGAAGAATTCCTTCGAGAATAGCCGGCAACTTTGCTAACAATCTTATTATCTTCGACAAGATAATAAACATCCATTTAGCGTCAAACCGAACATAGGTCAACTGGTTAAGGTACCTATCTCTACCCGAAAGGTCATGAGTTCGAATCTTCATCCCCACATGGTATACTAAAAAATATAAAATAAAAATAAAAGTCTATTTGACAACGATCCCTAATATCTTATAAACAAAATGTATATATATATGTACAAACAAAAAAATGTTTGATAACACTTCTTGTTTCTTGTTTTGGGTTTGAAATTCAAACCCACGATCTCTTGACCAATGATATATATCTTAATTCAATTTGACTTAATTTTGTTTTTAATTAAAATAATGATTTTTTAGAACATAGTTAAAAATAAAATTTAGTAGACGTGGTATACAAATATATATAATATATGCTTCAATAATATAATTCATTAAAAATATAAATTTATATTGGTTTTAAACAAATAATAAAATTTTCAATTTATTTTTAATTTAATGTTTTATTTTAAAATATATAATAGCCAAAATAAAGAATAAAAGTTAAAATTAGTCTATCTCTAATGCCATGTTTTTATAATTATTAATTGCTAATAATTCCGCTTTTTAGATATAGTTGCAGCTAGTGGGTGATTAAAAAAAATGTAGTCTCCTCGGTTCTGAATTTTAGTAGAACTAAAACTGTTCAGTTTGGATCAGTTTGTTTAAAACTGAAAACCGAATCAAATCTTACAAAGCCCATATTGATTCGGGTCGGGTCATGTATGACAATCGTTTGAACGGAGAGGAGACAAAAGTTGCAAAACCCTACCCCATCCCCGTGCATGCGCCATTCTCTAAGGTTGTCGAGGTAAAGAGCAATTATCTTATGTGCCGTTTTAGATACTACTTTTCATCAAAGACTCGATTTTTAAATTTATTTAAAATTTGTTATTAATACAGTATATATCAATTATTGTTGAATCATTTTGGATTTGATTTTTAATTAAAAGTTTTCAGATTTGAATTTTTCATATTTATTTAGATTTTCAAATATTAATCTCTCGTGTTCCACTAATTTATTCTCCTAATTTTATTTCCTTAGACAATATACTCTAAATCATTTCATTTATAACAAAATAAATCTTACCTGTTATCGAACCTCGTCAGAATCATCAACTCATTTCAACTTCCATCGTCATCTGAATTATTCGATGGTCAATTTTGTATATTTTATGTTCATTCATTTTCATGTTATGCACATACTGGGTTATATTATTACTAATCTTATGTAAATATGGTATGCACATATTTATACTAGGTTATAATTTATATACCATGTAACATTATAAGAAACACTATTATTAGTGCTCGAAAAACATCTAGTGGCCTTCTAGGTTCTTGTCGCATGTATTTGAGAGATTCTAGATTTTCAATTAAATTAGAAGTATTGGTAACACAATTTCAAGGAAAAAATCCGAGGGAAATTGCCCCAATACTAATTTTATTTCGTTTTTTATTTTTGTGTTTTTATATTTATTAAATATATATTACAAAGAACCAATAGATAATTTTCCTTATGGTTCCATTATAACGGGCAATATTTAAATGACGATGTAAATGGTTAAGCCAATTTTGTAATTTAAATACTCAAATGGTCCAGTCGTATACTTATCGCTGAGGTGAATAGGAATTTTCTTTATTGGGCCGGGCTGCGACCCCTCGTTTATTGGGCCCATTGACCGGATTACTCAGCCCATCAGGATTCAGTTTGCTCAACGATTGACGGGACCGGCGTGGGGAAAAAGACTGTGAAGGATTTCGCTGCGTTGCCCTAGCGATTTGTTTGGGGGAGTTGTTGTGTTGTTTCTTCCCGAGAGTCTCAGTCAACCATGCCGACCGTAAGCGTCGGAAGAGATCGTCTTTTTGCCGCTCTCGGAAGAACTTACTGTGAGAAGCTTGCAATTTTCCATTTCCAACTTTGTTCGATTCTGTAATTGCATTCTGTTTAATCTTCTTTCCTTTTGGTTGCACAGCGCAGGAAGAGTTCGACGAGCTGTGCTTCAGCTTCGGAATTGAGCTCGATGACGTTGTAAGCGCCTTTGCGCCATTAGACCACTGTTTTTTTCGTCAATTATAACCATGACTAGGATGGAAATTTCCATTTTACTCTGCCTTTGTTGATTATAGACGACGGAGAAGGCGATCATTAGGAAAGAGAAGCACTTGGAGGAGGATGCCGATGAAGATGAAGAAGTCATCTACAAGATTGAAGTCCCAGCAAACAGGTACATTTATTCGTAATTTGCTGTTACTTGCAATTAAAATCCAACACGGTGCTGAGCTGATTCTCTTTCATTCTTCTTCTTTGAGAGTGTGTGGGTAGACAGTTTGGTGGTTTTTTACACGCGTCTGAGATTCCTTCTTAGCATATTTATTTGGTTATTTTTGTATTGTATCTAATTGATGTTATTTTCTTGTAAATGCCTGCATTGGCTTCTTTATATATTTATTGATTTTAATTTTTTTAAGAAGAGACCGTTGTAAATTTCACAGTTGTTACAGATAATTATTTTAACATTATAACAATCTGCTGATATAACTGGTAAATGTAAATTATGGTTTTGTAGATACGATTTGCTGTGTCTTGAAGGGCTTGCTCAAGCACTGCGCATTTTCAATAGGCAGCAGGAGATACCCAGATATACATTAACCAATATTACCAAAGAATCTATGCACAGAATGCATGTAAAACCGGAGGTATAGTTTTCGTTAGAATATGCAAGTCATATTATATTATTGTAGATGTTTTGAGCTTGTTTATCTAGTTCTGAGACTTTCAACTTCACAGACTTCCTTGATTCGTCCTTATGTGGTTTGTGCTATTTTGAGAGACATAACTTTTGATGAAGCAAGTTACAACAGTTTCATTGATCTACAAGACAAACTTCATCAGAACATATGTCGGTAAGTTGTCTCATGTCTGACTCATAGTTTTTGGTAGCATGGGCAGTTACTTTTTTGATAATATTGCTTTGCTAGGTCTAATTTGTAGATTTTTCTTTCTATTCTTTCTTCTTTTCTTCTTTATGTCATGCACATACACTCTGCAATAGTCTCTTGTTTTATTTTCATTTGCACTATAAGAGTTCTCTTAAGAATTTCGTTTGATTTGTTTTAGACGGAGAACACTCGTTGCCATTGGAACTCATGACCTGGATACACTTGAAGGCCCTTTCACCTATGAGGTGAGTTTTTCTTGTGCTCGGCTTATTGGGAGAATATATATTCTGTTTCTATTCGCGTGAATAGTTGAATGGCGCTGTGCAGTAGTAGATTTATGGCCAAGACATTGTCTGTTTCTATCACGGATGATCCTCAGTTTTAGTAACATGTCTGGAAATTAATCTGCAAAGTTGGTTCTTTCATCTTTGAAGTGTTTTTTGTGGGTTTATATAAGGTGTTCTGTGTTCAAATAGTCAATAATGAAAAACTAAAATGGCCTGTGACTATAGGTTCTGCGTGCTCTCTACGACGGTTGTTTATTATGGTCCTTTCATCTTTCAAGTACTTATATTGGTTTATTCCCTCCTCCTCTCTCTCTCTCTCTCTCTCCCCCCTTAAATTCTGTTGGATACTTATTTGTTTCAGTGAATACAATGTCCTACTGTTGCCATTCTCACTTTCATCTTGTTTTTTCAGGCTTTGCCACCAACTGATATAAACTTCGTGCCACTGAAACAGGTAAAATATATAATGCACCTATTACAAGTCCTCTCTCTATTGTTGAGATTGAACAGAATGAGGATTTTGGATTTCCCATTAAGATCTTGGATGTAAACCTGATTTGTCTTGTTTTTTTGTTCCTGTCTTTCAATCTTCAAAGCTTTTATCATGTTTGAAATGAGTAGAGTATCTACTCTATCTACATACTGTGTTTTGATCTGTTGTGCTTTTGGGACTTTTTTGGACCTCTTTTAGAAGCGGTTCTTTAATAAACTCTAGTTGATTTGGGTATTAGAGAGATTGATTTTAAACTGAGTTTGTTTTTAATGTCGATTCTATTCTTCTTTTCATTCAGAATTTGATTGTTTGGTACTGAAAGAATTAACTCAACGACTTCTTCCTTTACCAGATTTTTTAAATGTACATTTCTTTATCTTTATGGATTTCCTGGAAATATTTCATTATGGGAGTAATGAGAATGAGATATAATTTACTTCCTCAACCATTGACCTGTTTGGAATATAGTCTTTTAATGTTGTTTGGAACTAACTTTTATTATCTTATTATGTGATGCAGACAAAGAGTTTCAGAGCTGATGAGCTAATGGAGTACTATAAAGTAAGTTCTTAATAAAAATCTTTCTACTTTCTGTCTGATATCCAGTTCTTCTAATAGCTCTACTTTGTTTCAATGTTTATTAGCTTCACGATTCTGTCTAAAAAAATTGATTTCAAAATATCTCGGTCCATAATTTGCTATGATTATTTGCAGTCAGATTTGAAGCTGAAGAAGTTCTTGCACATAATAGAAAAATCACCAGTATTTCCTGTTTTGTTCGATCGCAACAGGTATACTATTACTACACTTTCTCATATTTGAATTGTGTTTAGATCTTCTAGAATTTTATTGGTTGGTTTACTTGTTTTTACCAGCTAAATGACAATTGAATAATCCTTTCCCCAAAAATTGTTACCACACAAGGACCATTAAAGTTCTCATTTCTTTTTTTCTATTGCCCGTTTCTCTTCATTGTATGCCACTGTAATTGATTATTTTAATTTATAGTGGTTGCCGATGTTTAGTAGGATTGTAGTATGATGGTTCTTACGAGCACAAAACTCATTATAATTTTCTGAATTTTTTTTTTCAAGAAAACAAGTTGGTTTTTTTTTTGTGATTATTGCTTTTATTATAACAAATTACCATGTTTTGAAATAAGATAAGCTCCTTGCTGCAGAACTGTTTTGTCTTTACCACCAATTATCAATGGTGCACATTCAGCTATTACTTTGAAGACAAAGAATGTGTTTATTGAATGCACTGCAACCGACCATACAAAGGCAAATATTGTCTTGAATACTATGGTATGGATTTTATATGTTGTGAGAGAATTTATTTGGTGATAATGATATAGAGTACTCCCTAATATTTGAATTTTTGAAAAATCTTCTTAGGTAACTATATTTTCAGCACTCTGCAGAAAGAAGTTTGAAATCGAACCAGTTGAAGTCATACATTCTGATGGGAAATCAAGTATTTATCCAGATTTATCCCTCTACAATATGGAAGTTTCTCTGTCGTATATCACTAATTCTATTGGAGTCTCATTGGAGGCAGAAGAGGTTGTTGTCTAAGATCATTTTATCTTCTATCAACTACTATTATTTTCCATTCAAAGAAATTGCTAACTACTATTTATTTCAGTAGTTACAACATCATTTAGGAGTTTTTGAAGCTTCATTTTTTTCATACAGTACAGTTGCCTTAACTCTGCTTTGGTATCCTATATCGTAATGGAAACTTATTTAAGAATAACAATTTATGATTACTTTCTATAGTCATCGTAATTTTATATTTTGTGCCGAATTTTTCTCTGGGCTTGAGTTCAACGTTTACTTTGGTTTGTGGAACTATAAAATCTTATAAGATAGTGTTATGTAGTTCAATGAATTTATGATGGTTCATTTTTCTTGGTTTCTTACCCAAAGAAGAAAAATATCAATTTCAATTATATAATGCTTCTCAATTGGAAGTTAATATAAGTTACTATTCCAAGCACTTGCAGATGAGGGTAATGGATAAGTAGGTATATTGGTTCAATGGAATGAATGTGATGTGGCTTGTGGCATCTTACAATCTTCCAGGTTACCAGTTTGTTGAATAGAATGCAATTGCACGCTGAGCAGTCAGGTGACGAGTCTAGCATTACTATATCCGTGCCCCCAACAAGGAGTGATGTTCTTCACCCATGTGATGTCATGGAGGTAAGAATAGAGAATAGGAGAGATGATCTTGTGAATATATATGTAAGCGTTTCTTGTTATGCACCTTGTAAATAGCTTTTGATCATACTAATTTGTTCTTTTTCTAGGATGTTGCTATTGCTTATGGGTTCAATAATATCCCAAAGAGAAAACCAGCATCTTTGCAGCCTCTATCATTAAATGAGTTCACTGATCTTATCAGACTAGAGGTACATATGGGCGATCAATGATTTGGTGTATGCTATAGTTTTGTACCTTATCTTGCTTATTATTTTATCATACCCGCTTGTTTCTGTTTAGATTGCAATGAGTGGGTTCACAGAGGTCCTTACATTTGTCCTCTGTTCTCATAAAGAGATTTTTTCCATGTTAAACCGTGAAGATGATAAATCCACTGCTGTTAGAATTGCAAATCCCCGTTCAACAGATAATGAGGTTTGTCAACCCTATCTAGTTTTTTGAACAACTTGGGTAAACCTTTCTAAATATGACACATGCTAGAAATCACTTGTATTATGCATGCTTGTGCTAATTTTGGGAAATAGTAAACCTTCATATTTTTATAAAGTTTTCCAATTTCTTAACATTGTCAGGTTACACGAACCAGTCTTATGCCTGGTCTTTTGAAAACTGTTGGAAATAATAAGGATCATCCAAAGCCCATAAAGGTACATGTGTCAGTTGTCTTTGACCAGTCATCTCTTTAAAACATGAAGGTGCAAATATTTGATGATCATCTTGTTCTTTGTGATAAAAATATTGGTACTAACATGCTGCATTAGTATGCACATGCATTTTTAGATGCGCATGTATGGATGCATTTAGGTAGAAAACGTATTCCATATTCTGAAGTTTACAAGAGGCGTTTGTTCACTTCTAGGTTATAAGAGTATGGAGTTTACATGATTATTATTGCATTTTGATGTTTCCTGTGGATTAGTGTCATGCTGTAGACGCACTGATAGGTTAAATGCTGTTGAAACATGCTGATACTCCATTGTAATTGGGGCAGAATCATAGAGTTAAATTCTTATGTGGTAAGTTGTGATTGTTACGTTTGTTTAACCTTTAAATGACAATTAGGACTTGAATGAGGGAAAGATGATAAGCTTGAACAGTTGTCTTTAGTATGTCTGGGAGGTTACGTTGTACTCTTTTGTGCTACAGTACTTTATGAAGGTCAATTTCAGTTTCCCCAGCTGGATAGGCATTCTTTAATGTCTCTTGAAGATTTCATCAGCAGTCCATTTTTACAATTTATCTGTTTTTTTGTTAGATAAGAAACAGAGAACGGAGCCATATACAAAAAAGGGGAGATGTTACAATTTATTCTTCTTCATAGTTCATACTCAATATTTTATGATGATTTTTTTCATTAGATAATTTGAGGTGCGTGTATGCCGATCCAAACATTCAGTCTTAAAAAAATATGATTATGTTATCTGTTCAGTAAGCTATTATTTGAATTTTTTTTGAAAGCTTGTATGTCTATATATATTCATATTTTGATATCCTGACTGCTTTTATGTTTTAAAGTTGGTTTGCTTGAAAGAAGCTTAAAGAGTTGAACCATTTGTCAACTTTTTTGTTCTAGATATTTGAAGTTGGCGATGTATTATTGCTGGACGGTGCAATAGACGTTGGTGCAAGAAATCACCGCCATCTTGCTGCTCTATATTGCAGTGCCAATTCTGGTTTTGAGGTATGAATATAAATTTTCAACGTGAGCATACTCAATTGGTTAATGCATATATCATCAACTAAAAGTGCATATATCATCAACTAAAAGAAGATTAGAAAGTTCGAATCCCAATATGTTGAACTAAAAAAACTCAGATCTGCCTTTTAACATGGTCATGTGATCTTTTTTTAGTGCACAAAAGGGATTTCTTGACTTCGTAAACCCCAATGCAGGATGATTTTTAAAAATGGTTTTTAAACTAGCAGGAAATAGAATAATGTTTTTCTGTTTTCATTTATATGTTAAAGTTAGTGTTTTATGAGAGTTACCATTTTTGGATGCAGTGGTGGTCGTCTAGTCTCTCATAATACATTGCTTTTTCAAGAAACAAATGTTCTACTAAGTCACTTTTTAATGTCTCCTTTTTTAGATGTGCCTTCAGTTTTTAGTGGAAATTCATGGTAGCTTTTGTAGTATTAACCCATTTAATTATTTTACGTTTCAGTTGATTCATGGTTTGGTTGATAGAATTATGGAAGCCATTGGGGCTCCTTTTGTTTCAGTTGGTGACGAAAGTGGGTACTACTTAAAACCTTCAGACGTAAGTAGTTTATTTCATGCACTTGCATTATTGCACGGGAATGTCAGAAATGAGTAACTTAGAGACGACTCCATTTCTTGATATATTTCCCATGTTTTGTTGATATATCCTGCAGAATCCAGAGTTTTTTCCTGGTAGACAAGCACACGTCATTTGTAAAGGAAGGACTATTGGCACTTTTGGTATTGTTCATCCCGAGGTATGGTCACCTTTTCAGAACTATGCTTACAATGGTGGATATGATAAGTAATCAAGGTTCAGAATGGAAAAGTCGTAAGATGTTTGTATATAAACTTTGATAATAAATCCAACAATTGTTGTCGATGTATATTTGCCATTATTTATATTGTTGGGATTGTTTTTTTTTTCTTTTTTCATTGTTAGCAAGGTTTATTTTGAGATTTATGGATTGATTGGCTTCTATTTTTCACTCTTACCCAATCATATCCCACTGACCCACTCTCCTCTTGAACATTGAGTGATATCAACGTTTCTCCCATGTTCCCCCATCCAACTTTTTTGTTTCCTACCAAGACAAACAAGTAATATAATACAAGTTGGTCATTCTTATTTAATTGGTTACAATATTTTGTGATTTGTGCAATGCAGAATTGGTTCAGTTAGTTACTAAATTAAGTTTTGGGCTATAGAAAAAAGCGGTAGTACCAAGAAGTTTGATAGCAGTGCCCAACCCAATTTGCAATTCTTGCTTCCAATATTATTCTCCATGCCCTGCCTTGTTACAGCTCTAGTTCTGATGGGGACATACAGGCCTCATCCCATGATTATCTCTATCTTCTACTGCATTTAAAAAAGAATCCATGTTTCTTAACTTTGAAGTTAGAAAATGAAATATGGTCCGTATTTGTACCGTACTAATTATATTTCTCTCCTGTGACCTCAGGTTTTAAATAACTTTGACATTCCTGACCCATGTTCCTTCGTTGAACTTAGCATCCAGAGTTTCTTATAGTGTACCCATTCTACAGAGTAAGTGAATCTTGCATCTCTTTTTTATTTTCAAAGTTGTGTTTTGTATTCTCATTCAATTTTATGAGGAGAGAGATATGGCAATATTTGACTTGATCCTTTTGATGGGCCAGAGATTTGGATTGTTGAAAGCATCTGGAGTAGTATGCTAAAAAATAAGGGGGGTCACTTTAGGATATTTCTATTAGTTGTGTAAACTTGTTTACCAAAATGTAGTAAGGTCAAACAGTTGTTAACAACTAAATTAGTCCGAGGAATTTGGTTCGAATCCTCTGCATGGTCAGGAAAAAAAAAATAAAGAACAAATTCCTTCCCCTGGGGATCCATTCCCTT